TTCTATTTATTTCGAATTTTTCAATATTCGGTGAAAATTGGATTTTTATTTGAATTTCCCGCCTCCAATGCGACAATATGGCGATAGTATAGATCAATGACATGATATATATCGAATTTCATCGAACAACCAATTTTAAAGATATATGGATTATTTGATGTATCGATTTATCGGCCAGTCGAGAATCGATTAATTGGAGAGAATAAAGTAGGAATAAAATAAAATAAAATTGTTTCAATTGGTAATTGACCATTGAATATTGATATTGCGTTATTTCATGAGGAATAATTTGAATGGAAATAAAAATGTTTTGAGTTTCACGGACCCACCGCAAACAATTAATATCCATAAATAAATGATCATTATAAAAATTTACATGAGCAATAATGGAAGTAACTCCCCAGCTATTTTCTCAATAGCTTACAGCAGCTCAAAGGGTGATGGTCTACACCTTAAAGGTAACCAGTGAATTGCAGAGGGAGTGAAGCCTACTTATGGAAAATTAAGAGTTACTGTGCAACAACTTCAGATGTACATTTGTAGTGTTAGCCGTTTGGAAAAATTGTTCTCTCCACCCTGAGGTTACTCAGCATCCTGCATACGCATTATGTATATTTATTGTACACGGGTTGTATATTACATACACTGGAATTTCAAGGTATTCGTTATGTGGTATCTTTTTCCCACGAGCCAGTGTTTTGTGATCATTTATTGAGGATAAATAAAATTACGAGATATTAAATAAATAAGGAGAAAAAAACGTGCAGCTGAATGAGCGATTCATCTTATCGACTCATAAATATATCATGGGGAAATTATCGATTATCGGCTTGAGGTATTCTCGAATAATGTGGGAATTTGTGGTATGTCGTGGTGAGTGAAGAACCATGTAATCTCTGGTTAGCATTGACACACGTCAAACAACAAATGTACGTCTTAACAATCATTATCATCGATCTCTTCTGCGGGTGGGTGGATCTTTGTGTTACTTCGGACGATCAATTTCTCGTCATAAATATTTACTCCAATCCCATTTTCCCACAGATTTTTGCTATTTTCATGCAAAAAGCCCAGAAAATATTAACAATAACAATAATATCAATAATATAATCAATAATAATAATTGCATTATTATTCATATATATTTTGAAAATTGACATTAGAATATGAAAAAAATTTCGATTCAGAATCACAATTGGAATAAAAAAAATGAAAAATACACGTAAAAATATAAAAACGACAAGTCCACCTATTAAAATATTCCCGAGACAATTTCGGACATGAAAAAATAATATCGCAGTCCGTTCTTGCGGTGAATTTAAAAACGAAAGAAATTAAAAAACCGAAAGAGAATTTTCAGGAGCCCACGACCGTAACCAGATATGCAGGCGATACAGACCTCAAGGTACATTAAAAAAACTCAAGAATATTGTCGTTCCCGGGGTAAAAAAAAAAACATTTCTACACGCAGGTGAACCCTAGCATGAACCTGGCGGAGGAACAGGTGGTAGACAGCGTACATGAGTAAACGAAACGCAGTACTTGAACGCATTAGAGCGTATCGTCCACGGGACAAAAACAATTCCACAAAAATGAGATAAAAGGAGACAGCCAGAGCCCAAGTAGTGGCGGTTGATTACGTGAGCGAGAAATAGTTTGCACGTTGGGTAGAAAATATCATTGTGGGGTACTCCAAGCTGTTTGCCCGTCATCCTGCTGTGATGATTGGATTTTACTCTGGTAAGAAGTCAGACGAGATTCTACGCTGAATGCCCAGGAATTTATTCTATTCAAGGATCTTTATCCATTCCTCTAAATCCTCGATCTTCTTTAAGGCCCGATATTCCCCAGATGTAGTGATTTTTTTCCATGAGAATCCCCAGAATCCCCTAGATTTTAGTGTAAGTATTTGGTGTTAAGGTTTGGTGTTTGGTGTTTGGTGTTTATATTCGAGATGAAAAATATGAAATGACGCACATGGGGCAATCAGTCCGGTAATGGAAAAAATGAAAGAAATTTGCAGAATAATCATGTGGGATTTCATCAGAGAGTGAATGAAAAATTGCAAATACGAAAATACGAGATGTTTCATTTCACTTTATTTACCTCCGAGCAAGGCCGAGTGATCGGCCTTGCCGAGACAATGGGGCAATGCCACTTTGTTTCTTTATTCGGTTACGATGCACATATCCTCATATCGTTGCAGAAAATATCGCGTGTTTGTAAACATTTGGATAACAATAGCAATTTCGATATTCGGCCGAATTGGCGAATTTCAATAATTCCCTCTCGTTTGTACACCATTTATTCAATTGAACACTTGAGATTTTCTGCAAACAGTAAAAACTCGTGTTCTTTTAATTAGAGTAATTTTTTGTACTCATTTTTCGCAAAAAACAATAAAAAACGCTGGAATGCTCATTTTTTGTGGGATAGGACGAATAAAAAATTGTGGAATGCGGGAATTGGATGAAAAAAAATTCAGGCACGATGAAAAACCATTGGAATGTTCAATTTTTAGTGACACGACAAATTGAAAGATAAAAATAGTGGAATTCGATGGAAAAAAATTCTAACTGAGTAATTCTGAGAAAGTGTCTGTAACCCTAGAGTTGTCCTTGTAACAAAATAACAATGGGTGCCCCATTGCAATAGAATAAAAACAATGCGAGTAAAAAGGTATGACTAAAGAATGCGGTGCATGCTGCAATATCGAGAGATGAATTACATCGCGAACAAGATCATGATCGACTGGTGCAATAAACTCTGAATGGTTCATATAAAATTGTTTTTGCCGTACACTGAAAAGTGAAAACCACCAAAGGGTGACTGCCTTGTAAAAAACCGAATGTTAATACCAACGAAACCGCAGGATATTCATTTATTTATGGATATTACTCGTGCAGAAAAACATTTCGAACCAATTCTGTAATCTATTACTTTGTTCGTGCGGTGTATATACCCCATGTACACACATTACATGATCGTGTTGTTGTGGCCCCTCTCCTGGGTAAATAAACCAACAAAGAAACAAAAATAT